CCACCCTCTGGAACTCCATCCCACAGTCCCTCGGCCTCACCCTTTGCCTCCTTCAAGGCATATTTCCAGTCCCTCCTCTTCGGCCCTCCACCCCTCCCGATCCCAACCACAGCTCGGGTCCAAACCCCTGACTGTCCAGCGTTGTTGTTGTTGGGGAATCATGTTCAAGCCATCTGTACTGTTGCCCTGTGTGTAACCTCTTCCTCTCTCTGCCTCTGCCCCTGACCCAGGCCTCATCGACATCGCTGAGATACAGCAATCGCTGGCAAACCTGGGTATCGTGATCACAGAGGAGCAGGCCAAGGCCATCCTGCTCAGGTGAGAGGCAGCCCAGCCCCATTGACAGCCCGAAGGGGAGACCCTCTGCTCTGTGCTTTCAGCTTACACTGTAGCTCAGTGGTTAGAGCGCTCACCTCCCAAACAAACGTGGGTTCGATTCTCGCGTGAGTCAGGGCGAAACCTTAGGCAAGTTTCCTTACTACACACACACGGAACCCGATTGTTAGTCGATTGGCCGATCGCTTTCCGGGGGTAATAATCCCTTAAGAAAATAATAATAATAATGTGGTCACTCAATCCACGGCTGTTTGTGGGGACGCTGCCGTGCGCAATTGGCTGTCACATTTTGCCCACAAAGTATACAGTCAATTCAGTTTACCGTGTATCCCGTGAAGTGCTTTGAGACGTCTCGAAGACGTGATAAGGCGCTGTGTCAAATGCAAGGATTATTGTTACCAAATAGAAGGATTGTTGTTATTACCTGTGTGGCTGATTGCGAGCAGGTGTGACTGTGTCTCTCTCACTTCCCTCTGTCAGTATGGACAAGGACGGCACCATCACAGTGGACTGGATAGAGTTTCGGGATCACTTCATCTTTAATCCCCTGACAGACCTTCAGGGCATCGCAGAGTACTGGAAGCACCGGGCGGTAAATCTGACCGTATCTGACGCAAACTATATTGTGGGCTCCCCGTAGCGTAGCGGATTCGATGCCCGGGCGGGTCAGGTTGGGGCAAAACCTTAGGCAGCCAATTGCACACAGCAATACTCCCTCCACAAACAGTCGTGGATTGAGTGAGCAAACTGATTCTTTTTTTAAGGGATGTTTGTGAGACTTATTACACCAACTCTCCTTACTCCACACTCCACCCAGCAGTAAGTAGGTACCCGGTTGTTAGTCGATTGGCCGATCGCTTTCCCTGGAGTAATAGTCCCTTCAAAAAATAATAATAAATTGGTCACTCAATCCACGGCTGTTTGTGGGGACGCTGCTGTGCGCAATTGGCTGCCGCTTTTCGCCCACAAAATATACGGTCAGTTCACTTTACAGTGTACCCTGTGAAGAGCTTTGAGGCGTCTCAAAGACGTGATAAGACGCTGCACCAAATGCAAGGATTATTATTATTATCTTAAAAGTTCAAGGTCATGAAGACTTGCTGTGGAAACCAGCTATTGATATCCCAAACTACTGTATATACTGATTGACACTAAGGAACAGGCTCCCCGGGGAGACAGACAGTGGAAGCGGAAGAGTTGACTCTTTGAAAAGTAAATTAGATAAGATTTCTTTCAGGGAATAACATCTCGGGATCCAGTTATACCTTTTTGGACATCAATAGCTATTGATTAGAAAAGAGATTTGTGCTTCTTGGAATTCTCTCTCCCCGCCCCCTCCCCCTGAATGCGCTGGGTTTTAGGTCACAACAACAACAACTTGCTTTTACACAGCATCCTTCACATGGGGTAGGGTCCTGGAGCGCTTTACAGTGGCGGAGTCTGACCGCGAGCCCGGGGGGGAGAGGGAGGGGAGGGGGGAGGTGACTGTGAGCACGATCGAAAAGGAAGGTCTTTTAAGTGGGACTTGAAAGGGGGGAGGGAGGGAGGGAGGGAGGGGGCAAGGCGGAGAGATTGAGGGGGAGGGAGGGAGGGGGCAAGGCGGAGAGATTGAGGGGAGGGAGGGGGCAAGGCGGAGAGATTGAGGGGAGGGAGGGGGGCAAGGCGGAGAGATTGAGGGGAGGGAGGGAGGGGGCAAGGCGGAGAGATTGAGGGGAGGGGGGGAGGCGGGAGGGAGGGGAGGGAGGGAGGGGGCAAGGCGGAGAGATTGAGGGGGGGAGGGAGGGGGAAGCGGAGAGTGAGGGGGAGGGAGGGGGCAGGCGGAGATGGGGGGGGGGGGGGGAAGCGGAGAGATTGAGGGGGAGATAGTGAGGGGAGGGAGGGGCAAGCGGAGAGATTGAGGGGGAGGAGGGAGGGGCAAGGCGGAGGGATTGAGGGAGGGAGAGAGGGAGGGGCAAGGCGGAGAGATTGAGGGGGAGGGAGAGAGAGAGGGAGGGGGCAAGGCGGAGAGATTGAGGGGGAGGGAGGGAGGGGGCAAGGCGGAGAGATTGAGGGGGAGGGAGGGAGGGGGCAAGGCGGAGAGATTGAAGGGGAGAGCGACTGAGTTTCAGGGCATAGAACATTCGGGGCAGAAGCATAGAACCTCTGGGGATCATCACAAAGGCAGCAGTTTCCCTGCCATTCCCTGCTGGGGTGGGTGGGGTGGGGGTGGGGGTGGGTGGGTGGGGGGGTGCCGGGGTTTTGTGGGGGTGGGGAGCTCTGTGACAACACAGTGGCTGTGCAATGAGGTGAGGGAACCTCACAGCAGTTCACCTCACAGTATCCAATCCTCGGCGCGTTAGCGATGAGGAACTTGCTGACAGCTTCCCTCTGTCGAGCTCACAGCTTTCCCCCGCATGGGGACATCAAGGCTGGGTCCCCAGCCTCTCCCCCTCCCACTATCCCTGCTCCCTTTACCCGCAGGCATGCCCCCTCCTCTCTACCCCGGTCCCAGGCTCAGGCCCCCGTGTTGACGTTCTTCCCCCTCAGCTCCCTGTTCTTTTATTTGAACTCCCGCTCGGTCTTGTTTGAGGAGAACGAGGTAATAGCAAGCGGAATAATCCCTACATTTGACCCAGCGCCTTTCACATCGGGCAGGACAATAATAATAATTAATAATAACAACAACTTGCATTGATATATGGCACCCTTCACGAGAGGTAGCTCCCCAGAGCGCTCGGTTAATCATAATCCACTGCGTTTGATACAGCGCTTTATCACGTCGATGAGATTGTCTCAAAGCACTTCGCAGGATACACTGTCGAGTGGAGTGACTGACTGTATTTTGTGGGCGAAACACGGCAGCCAGTTACGCACAGCAATGTCCCACAAACAGCCGTTGAGTGAGCGAAGGAGTGATTGTATCTGGGGGATTGTCGGCTCTCTTACTCTCTCTCACTCTCTTACTCTCTCTCCCTTTCTTACTCTCTCTTGCTCTCTCTCTCTCTCTTTTTGTCCCCAGTTCCTGGATATCGGGGAATCGATCCGGATTTCGGATGAGTTTTCCCAGGAGGATTGGACGGCTGGGGTTTGGTGGCGGCAGCTGCTGGCGGGGGCGATGGCAGGCGCCGTGTCGCGGACTTGCACGGCCCCCCTCGACCGTCTGAAGATCTACATGCAGGTGGGGGTCTGGGCTGGCAGGGCGCTGGGGGCAGGGAGGGGTAGGGGGAGAGCAGCCTGGCCTCTCCTGCTACTTCTCAGCCACCCCCCCCTCCCTTCCCCTCCGCAGGTCTGGAGAGGAGGGGCTGACATCCACCCCACTATCATCAGCCTCTCTGCCCCCAACCTTTGGAACTCCATCCCACAGTCCCTCCGCCTCTCTCGCCCCCTCCCTCCTTCCCTCCCTCCCTCTTTCCCTCCCTCACCTCCTTCCAGACCTTTCTCAAGACCCTCCTCTTCGACCGCACCTTCGGTCACCCTCCTACCCCCACCCTCCCCGCCCTCCACCCCTCCCTGATCCCAACCACCCGCTCGGATCCAAATAGCTTTGCCCCCAAAACACGCAGTCACTCCACTTTACAGTGTATCCTGTGAAGTGCTTTGAGACGTCTCGAAGACGTGATAAGGCGCTGTGTCATTATTATTATTAAATCCAGCGCCTGCTCGGGGACATAGGAACATAAGAAATGCTAAGATGTAAAAAAGACCAAGATCCCTCTGGTGCACCTTCCTGTCCCACGTATGAACTCCCAACGTACTGTACCCCGCAATGTCATATCCTGAAAGAAAACTGATCTAGTCTGTTGTTTGAACACTTCCGGGGACGTCCTCCCGACATGAGAGGCGCTGTGTAAATGTAACTTTTGTTGTATCTCCTGCTCTCAGACAGATGCTCCTCGGCGTGCGTGCGTTTGTGTGCGCGCGCGTGTACGTGCGTGTACGTGCGTGTGTGTGTACGTGCGTGTGTGTACATGCGCGTGTGTGTGCGCGCGTGTGTGAGACCCGTGTCTGTCTGTCTCTCCCTCTCAGGTTTACGCCTCTTCTGACAAGCTGAACCTGAAGAGCGGCTGGAAGACGCTAGTGCGGGAGGGCGGCTTCCTGTCTATGTGGCGAGGAAACGGCATCAACGTGTTGAAGATCACCCCAGAGAGCAGCATTAAGTTCATGTCGTACGAACAGGTGCGGAGAGAGAGGGAGGGAACGGGGGAGGGGGGATGGCACGCTGCCTCCGCCTTCTCCTCCGTCACTGCCACACAGACACTGCCTCCTGCAGAGCAACTCAAAAAATAGTAATAAATTGCTCACTTGATCCACGAGAGTGTGTGGAGAATTGTCGCAATTGTCTCCCGCGTTTCGCCCACAAGACACGCAGTCACTACACTTGACAGTATCTCCCGCAAAGCGCTTTGAGACGTCTCGAAGATGTGATAAGGCGCTACATCGAATGCAGGGATTATTATTATTATTATCTTTTCACAGTATAAAAAGCTCTTCCTGACCAGCCACAAGCCCCTGGGGGCTGGAGACCGTTTCCTGGCGGGCTCGCTGGCTGGAGTCACCTCACAGACCTGCATTTACCCCATGGAGGTGAGCAGCCGCGCTGAAGTCGGGGAAGGAAAGTGGGCGAGGCAGAGGGAGGAATGGAGGGGTAGAGTTCCAGAGTTTCGGGGAGTAGCGGCTGAAAGCGCGGCCGTCGATGGTGGAAACAGGGACATGCAGGAGGTAGTGAGTAGTGGGTTAGCGCGATGGTCAGGGAAAGACCGGGGGGGGAAACAGGAGGGGGTGAATGGGCGGGATGGTGTCCGTGGCTCACCCCTCCTCTCCCCTCCCTCCTGCAGGTGCTGAAGACAAGACTGGGGCTGGGGAAGACTGGGGAATACTTTGGAATTGTCGACTGTGCCAAGAAAATGCTGGAAAGGGAAGGTTTGCGTTCGTTCTACAAAGGCTACTTCCCCAACACTCTGGGCATCATCCCTTACGCTGGCATCGACCTGGCCATCTATGAAGTATGTTTCAGACCCTGTGGCGTATAATAATAATAATTATTATTATTATCCTCCAACGAGACTAAATGTGCACAAGTGCTCTGGGACACTATCCTGCTTTAGGGGCACTATATAAATGCAAGTTGTTGTTGTAAAAATGTGTGTATGTAAGTGTGTCTGCGAGTGGGAGGAGGGAGAGAGAGACAGGAGCCACACTCGTTGCAGAGAGATTTATAGGTGCTCTACCCTGCCTTGCCCTGCCTTCCCTCGCCCTGCCTTCCCTCGCCCTGCCTTGCCTTGCCCTGGCCTACCTTCTCTTGCCTTGCCCTGCCCTGCGCTCCCCTGTGTAACCTTTGCTGCTATATTTCTGATCACAGACCATGAAGAACATGTATGTGCAGCATTCCGGTGGTAATGTGTCTCAGCCCAGCGTGTTTGTCCTGCTCGGCTGTGGCACCATCTCGAGCACCTGTGGCCAACTGGCCAGCTACCCCCTGGCACTCATTAAAACACAGATGCAGGCGCAAGGTGAGTGAGCGTGCAGCTGGGAGAGGGTGGGGGTGGGAGGGGGCGAAGGATTTGGGGGTGAGTGGGAGCGGTCAGACAGCAGCTCTGGCTGAAAGTGTCCCCATTTTGCGTGTTTCGCTCACAAAATACACAGTCACTTCACTTTACAGTGTATCCCTTGAAGCGCTTTTAGACGTCTCAACGACATGATAAGGCGCCATATCAAATGCCAGGATTATTATTATTGTTATTTTAAAACATGTTAAAAAACTACTAATAATAATTTGGTCCCTCAATCCACGACTGTTTGTGGGACATTGCTGTGTGCAATTGGCTGCCGCATTTCGCCCACAAAACACACAGTTACTACACTTTACAGCAAGTCCTGCGAAGTTCAACGACGTGATAACTGTATCAGTCAACAACAAATTACATTTGTATGAGTGCCATTCACGTCAGGAGGATTATTATTATTACAAACATAAGAATTATTATTATTATTACTAATAAGGATTAGTACACAAATGCAGGTGCAAGGGGAGTGAGTGACCTGTGTGCCTTTACAGCGGGAAGCACAGGATCTCCACAGCTGAACATGATCCACATCTTTAAGCGGATCCTGAAGCAAGACGGTTTCCTGGGCCTTTACAGAGGACTGGCTCCCAACTTCCTGAAGGTGATTCCAGCCGTCAGCATCAGCTACGTGGTGTATGAGAACATGAAACACATGTTGGGGATCACCTCCAAGTAATGTAATTACCTCCCCACCTCTCCTCCCTTCCCCCACTCACTCCCCCCACCACCACCCATTTTCCTCCATCCCCCCACACCACCACCCGAAAAGGTCATTTACAAGACTATTTTACGACTTAAGAATGAAGATATTTGAATGTGAAAATGAATGTAAATGTGAATTCTCAGCGCTTCAGAACAGCCGAGGTTCAGTTTGCACATCTGATCTCTGTCCTCAAAGACTGTTCTGCACGGAAGCTTGTGTTCCCAGGGTCCCGCTCTGGATTTGATCCCGATCTCCCGATCTGCACTGGGGTCAGCTCCCAACCCGCACGAGAACCCTCATCAGAATCCACTCCCAATCCACACTAGAATCCACTCCCGATCCGCACCAGAATCCACTCCTGCACCAGAATCCATTCACGACCTGACCAGAATCCACACCAGGATCAGCTCCCGATCCGTACGGGGAATCAGACACGAATGCTTTCTGCCTCACGTTCCCACTCTCACACAAAATCACACCCATATATGTGTATATATATATACACTGCTATACAATCACACAGAAACACACTCAGACACACACACACTCATTCAGTGTGCCACACCCACAACAACAACTTGCATTTACACAGCGCCCTTCACGCAGGGCAGCGTCTCAGAGCGCTTGACAGTAACGGAGCACGACACCGAGCCATGGGGAGGGAGGGGGAGGTGACCGTAAGTGCGGTCATATAGGAAGGTCTTCAGGCACGACCTGAAGATGGGGAGAGAAGGGACAAGACTGGAACTCGCTTGAGAAGCTGTGTTGACTGGGAGAAAGGGTGGTGTTGTAGTCAGGTGGGCTCGACTCCTGGGCAGGGCGAAATGTTAGGCAAGTTTTCTCACTCCACACGTCTGTTTACCCACCAGTAAGTAGGAACCCGGTTGTTAATCGATTGGTGGATTGCTTTTCCAGGGGTAATAATCCCTCAAAAATAATAGTAATGTGTTCACTCAATCCACAACTGTTTGTGGGACACTGTGTGCACACTGTAACACTTGCTGTGTGCAATTGGCTGCCACGCTTCCCCCATGAAGTGTACAATCAATTGACTTACAGTACATTCTGTGAAGTGTTGTGAGACGCTTCAAAGACGTGATAAGGTGCTATATCAAAAGCAAGGTATTGCACAAGGCTTGATGTCCCCACTTTATCTGGGGGATTGATTATGAAGAGCCAGCAATCTTCCAATCTGTCAGCCACCTCCCGAGTTGGGCTGTGCGTGGGAACTGTGCGCAAATCAGCCGTCACGTTTGCCGAACAAATTGACAAGTCACCCCACTTGACTGCCATTCCTCGAGATGGTTTGAAATATAGGCATAAGATAGCTGAGACCTAAGAATTATTTCCTTTCCTGTCTCATGTTATTCAACCGTTGCTCGTCTTAAGACGTTCCCCCCCTAAATCCCCCAAGGGGTGAGTCAGCCCTTCAGTGATTTCTTGTTCTTTACCATTGACATCACCGAATGTTACAATATAAAATAGGCTATGGGGCTTTTCTTCACATGAGCTGCCCCATCTCCTCCCACCCTCCTTCTCGCCCCGCCTTGCACACCTTTGAATACTCTTCTTCGCACGTATGTACTTACTTATTTATTTATGTATTTATTTTTAAACGACTGTTAAATTATGGGTTTCCAAAGCATGAAGTTGTGAACTGCTGTGAAATTTACTGGCTGCTCTGACGTGAAGGTGCACGTGCCCTTAGCTTGAAACGATTGTATAATTCTACTCAACGTCAAAGTACAGTTGGCATCCAGAGTTTTCAAAAGGAATAAAGTTTTTTTGATCTTTTGACTCTCTTAAGGCTGGCTTACTGCTGACTGCTAATATCATATCAGGACGTCCTCCCAACGTGAAAGGCACTGTGCAAATATAATTTCGTATTATATTGTAATATAGCAGGGAGGGTTACCCCCGCCCTCCCTGACCCCCACCCCTCCTGATCCCAATCCCTAACTATCCAGCGCCTTGGGACGTCCTCCCGAGGTGAAAGGCTCCGTGTAAATGTCATTTGTTGTTGTCGCTCATCTCGCTGTATCCAATGTCTGTCCGGTGGATGAGATTGCCGGGTGGTGGTGGTGGTGGGGGGGGGGCCACGTGTCTCTCTCTCGCTTCACGCCGTCTCCTTGACTCAGTCGCGTTCCTCTCTGGGGTCAGACGTGCCGGGTACCTCGAGCCCCAGGTCGGGACGGTGCCCGAGCAGTACAGAACGCGAGGGTTATTGTTGTCAGAATAAATAAGTAAACACCCCAAGTCATTGGGGGGGACACGCGGCGGCCCAGGCAGCGTCTACGGAGGGGGGGAAATGAGTTAACGGTGCGGGTCGAGGAGCTTTTTGTCAGAGCCGTGGGCCGTTGGGGGTTTATTTCCAATAATAATAAATTATTACTATTATTACCATCATCAAGTCCTTGTGAGCCATTGGTGAGCATCTCCAACGTGCCCCCCCCCCTCACACCAAGGGCAGATCCCGCCCTGCCTTTGCAGTGATTGGCCAATCCAGTGACGGGCGGGGGTGGGTGGCCGGCCTCTGCGTCCTACTGATTGGTGAGGCCGCGCTGTCAGTCGGGTGCCTTGCCTCGCAGCTCGCCCCGCTGATTGGTCCTGTCGCCCTGTCAATCAGAGCCCAAGGCCGCCGGGCAGGAAGCTCACGCCAATCAATGCCCGCCAGGGAGTGAGAGGGGGGGGCGCGAGAGTCCCGCACCCGGATTGGTCGACCGGGCTGTCAATCGGCCGAGCCCCGGGAACCCCGAGCTCCGGTTGGTCGGCACCCGCGTCCATCAGCGGCGAAGGGGGCGGATGTCCCGCCCTGCAGCCTCTTGGCGGCGTCCAGGTGGGAGCGGCGGCCATTACTGCCTCGCCGGCGCGGAGCGGCCCGTGAGGAACGGAGAGAGGCCCTCCCCCCCCGCCACCACCACCACCACCACCCTCAGCGAAAGCAAATGGCGGACTTCGCGACAGCGGCGCCTCCTCCACACGCAGCCGGAGCCGGAGCGCCGGGCCCCGGGCCCGGGGGAGCGGCAGCGGCTTTCAAGAAGCCGGACGCTTTCGCCGACGCGGTGCAGAGGGCCCGGCAGGTCAGTCGGTGCGGTGGTGCGGGCGGGCGGGCGGGGTGGCCAACGCGAGGCCGAGGCTGCATCCGGAGCTGCTAGGCCGCGTCCGCCTGTGGGAGCACAAGGGGAGGGGGGAAGGCGAGGGAGGGAGACAATAAAGAGGCGCCTCCAGAGCCCGCCAAGCCGCGGGCCCGCCTCCAGAGGCCGCGAGCCCCTCTTTATTGTCTCCTCTCTCTCTTTCTCTCTCTCTTTCTTTCTTTCACACGTCAATAAATATTTAACAAATATATATCTGTGTATATAGATATATATGTGTTATATATTTTGATTATTTCCACCCACCGCCGCTCCCCCCCCCAAAAAAATCCCTTTTGACACACGTTCAGGCCCAGGTGCAGCCATGGAAGAGCTCGTCACCTTCTCCCTCAATTATATGTCTATATATATATATATAGATTTATTTATTATATATTTTATGTATATATATATATTTAATGTGTATTAATATATATATATATTTTTTGGGGGTGGAGGAAGGAGACACCAAATGCTTTTCTTTTGCATTTGAACCCGATGTCAGGAATCCCTCTTGAGGTTAATTCTCGATCTCTTCTTTTATTCTATCCCTCTTGGTGTGTGTGGATTTTTTTTGTGGGGGGGGGGATCGGCGGCGGCGAAGGGGGGAGTAGAGGGGAAGCTTCTCTTCCACGTTTAACAGCACCAGTGATACTAATGCTTGCATTTGATTGTAGCGCCTTATCACGTCTTCCTGACGTCTCAAAAGCTCTTCCACAGAAAATATTGTAGTGTGGATTGACTGGGTATGTTCTCGGGCGAAAATATTTACCCTCTCACCCACGACCCAGATGCCCAGATAGTAGGTGGGTTCAGTCCGCACAGCCACCCCTCGATCTTTTCAAGTAAGTCGTTTGACTCCTCCAGTCCTGCTCCACACTGGCATCGCTCTCTATCTACCTACCTCAGGGCAATTCAGGGATTGGCCGGGTAATAAAAGAACTAATTACTTACAGAAAATAATCTCTTTCTCCCCCAACTCCCCGGTGGGAAATAGATGGATGCACAGGTTGTGGTATTGGGAATATGGGAAGCTGAAACGCTCCCTGCTGTTGCCCCTCTTCCAAAGAGGAAATGTAAATTAAAATGTCCCTGATTCTCTTTCCCTTCTCCATCCCCATGCCCACGCACACACACCCCTAAAGTTTTCCATTTACCTGTTCTGATAGGAATAACATCCTAACCCCTGTCTCTCTTGAATCTCTTCCCAGTGTGGCCTCGGTGTCTCTTTTGTTTTGGGATTTGTTTGTCAGCGACGGTGATGGAGCCTTTCTGGGAGAAACTCTTGTCGCCGCTTTGTATAAAATGGACATTAAAGGATGGTTTGAGTATACACAGCTAGGCCTGAGTTTTGATAAACAGCGTATCTGTTTTAAAAATAGATTGACCCACGTTGTCCTGGAACCTCCCTTAACAGCTAAGTCTTACACTAGAGACAATTACCAAATTAGCCACTGGGAACCCTTAAACATGGCATTGATCGTGGGCTAGATTCTGAGTCAAGCACTTACTCTAGTGTGACAGATCCCACTGTGGGAGAGTAAGTCTCCCCACTCCACCATGCATTTTCCACATTAATTGTCCTCAGCATTCAATCATTGAGACAGCCAAACTTAGTCATGATTTTGTGCTGGATCACGTTCCCTGGAACTTGGTTGAGACCACCTGACCTTGGGTTCCTTAGCCTCTGCAGGGAGGGGAAACTTCTACCCCCTTGTTTTGAGCTAGCTACGAGCTATGAGATGTCCAATGGAAAGTGAAAGGTAGGTTTGATGCTGTACGTTATTTTGGGAATGGGGAATGACAATTTTACTAGGCAAGTCTGCCCTGTGTTATTCAGAAAGCTGGTCGTGTGGAAGTACATTGTCTTCTCACGAGAGCATTGCATTGGGGGTGGAGGGGGAAAGGGGCAAGCAAATATGTCTTACAAGGGGGCAGTGAATAGGAAAACCAGAGAAAATCAGTGATTTACATTTTATTCCACCTATAATGTACTTCAAACTCCCAAGGTATCACATTGCATACTTCTGAGTCCATTCCCAGACTATTCTGTTGTACGTTTCCCTATCTGTTTTGAACCCACCATATTCCTCAATCTCCTCTTCCTGTGACAACTCATCCCATTGTCTATTGAACTCATTTATGCTATTTGTGACAGTGATTTGTTGCTGGCATTTATTCCATTTGTTTGGTGCTCTTCGAAGCTACCTGTTCAGGGGTGTGAGACGCAATTTCAAGACGGACACCAGGAAGAATTTACTTACACAGCGGGTGGTTTACAATTTGATTTGTTCCCTGGAAAGGTGGGCTGGGTTTCCGACACAGCTTGGTGCTGTGATGATTGGTGTTTTGATGAGGGTGGAGTCAAATGGTTGCAAAATCTCTCATAATGTGAGGTTTTGCCTGAACTCCCCCATTTACTCATGAGTGTTTAAACTTGTTTACTGTGTTAATGAGGTGCATTCACTTTGATCAATGTGTTCACAGTTTTGAATACTCCTATGAGGTGTCACAAGGGGTCCTTTCCACTTATGCTCAACTTTCTTACCTGTTCCCCCAAGCTCCTAATGTCATCTTAGTTGCCCTATTCTGCACCCTCCTGGAACAAGTCACCCATCTGCTCTAACACTGTCCATGCATTCATTTCATGGGTGAACATTCTGAGCTTGCCTGCTTGTCTCCAGTTCAGAACATGTGTCTCCTTTTATATCCTATTTTATTGACTTAGCAGATCGAGTATCATGCTACATTCGTTTGTCTCGGGAACCATCGTTGGTCTGGTGTTGGATTGCCTCTGTGTGAACATAAGAACATAAGAAGTGCTAGACGAAGAAAGACCACGGTCCATTTAGTTCACCTTCCTGGCGGTCGCTTGCACATATGTCCCAAGCTACTTATGTACTATATTCCATAATGTTATATCCTAAAAGAAAACTAATCTGTGTCGAAAGCCCACAATAATGTACTTGCCCACAATAATCCTCAGCCCTGTTCCTAACCACCTGCTAAGTCTTTTTCTTTGGCCTGTTTTTAAACTGCTGGTATTTGTGGCACAAAACTGAATCCTTTAGTTTTCCTTCTGTACGCCGGCTGTAGTGCTCCCACCATCTTGGTATCTATTATCAGCTACTCAGGCATTGAACCAGGAACCTTACTGGTCTGTACTGTCCTGCACCCTAGCTCGCCGTCAGAGGGGCCCAAACAGGAGTTACTATTGGAGTTAAGATGGGATACAATGGAGAATGGCGCTTAGCAAGTAAATTCACGTTGGGTGTGACTGGTGGTATGGGGGTCAGCTCAAGGCCATAATTCTGTAAATGGCACATAAGCGATCCTGAGGCTGAACTGCCATGTGCTTCTTTCATTCAATTCCGAGCAGCTGGAAGTGGATTAGTTAGAATGAAAGATGAGGAATTGGCTTGTCAGTGGAGGAGGGAGACATGCCTCTTCCACCGCCCTTGTCTCTTCACTCTTTGTCCCCGTGCCCCCCCCCCAACCATAGTGAATCATTTCTTAAATTAGGTTACGATATTTCCCAGTGTAACTCTAATCTGTAGAGACCCTGAGAGCTTGACTTTTAATCATCCTCAGTGCTATGTTAGCTTGTCTCACTCAGGCTTGTGTGATTGACTACAGTTCCCCTTCAGTTACAGAGGGGGAATCTCACGGCAACTCCGAGACTCTTAAAAATTAGGCTTGGCAGGTACTTCCAATGTTCTTCTCACTCCCTTGTACCTCCGAACTCCAGAAGCTACAGCCCAGGTTCTTTCCTCGCTTCCTCAAGTGCACTGGGGGGCTGCTCCATGTGAAGGGCGCTATATAAATGCGAGTTGTTGAAGGTTCCACACACCTAATCTGGCCAAGCTCCATTGCTTCCCGGTATCTCAGCATCTCTCTGCGGTCCAGTCTCCTGACAACACTAGTGGTCGTGCTTCACACATGGAGAGTGACCACTGGATTGCTGGCACTTGAGCACACACACTGACAAGTTACCCTAGTAAGTAAGCGATGCCGGGGAGAGGAAGGGATTGGAAACCGATGCCATGTTTAGCTCGTAAGCCGCACTGTTGGTTCAGAACTCGGACATTCTCCTTCTGTTGTTTTGCTCTCATCTGGATCGAACAAAGAGATCTGAATGAACTGTTCATTAATGTTGAGGTGACCTGGAATTACTGTGTCCAGCCAAAACCCTACAAAGTGGCTTTAATATGGTTTTTATGTTTTGCGGAGCTCGTCTTGCTATCTCTACAGACCCTTAGACGGGTTACTTGATCCAGCGGGTTATTTCCGGAGAATCATGCTTTTATGATTGTTGTTACCGTTGTTTCTTTTTTGTCTGCCTGTGCCGCAGATAAAAGTAATAATCCTTGTATTTGATATAGCGCCTTATCACGTCTTCGAGGCGTCTCTAAGCGCTTCACAGAATATACTGTAGAGTGAATTGACTGTATATTTTGTGGGTGAAACAAGATGGGTTACAGATGGATGTAAAGCAAATCCTGCTGCTGTTTCAGAGATTTTCTCTCCTATTATCACCGCTCGTACTCGCTCCCTCCTCACCCAAATTTATTGTCTGATCGCCGTACTCAGTTCCTGATCTTGTTTGTCGTGTCGGACGTCGTTGGTGTTGCTGTGCGTGTCTGCCTCATTGACAACATTCCCTTCATTTCGAATCGATTTTATTTAATTTAACAAGGGCTTTTATTTTGTTTGACATAAAAGGCGCTTGGTAAATGCAAGCTGTGAAGGGTGAGGTGCCCAAGCTGGGGAGTTCAGCATTGGCTGAGGACACATTGGTACCAGGTTGTTGCTGAGCTTCCACAGCTTGTTCACCTCCACGCCCTTGTATTAATCTGCCGCAGGCTGCGTTCAAGCATTAATACTCCTAAAATAGTGCGTCTCCACGGGAAAAGGAGACCTCACTGAAATGCAGCGAGTGTCTGGGGAAGTTCTCCTTGTGCCTGATGTAGAACAAGTACCTCAGTAAAATGTTCCTGGGGCATTGCATGTTACTTACACGTCGTTTACTTGGACGCAGTGGCTTGTTTTATTTTAAAAGGAACCTTAGTGCGAATGCAGCTTCAACTTGAGAACATACTGTGTGGACCGAGGAAGAGAAAATGTGCTTTTTTTTAAAAAAAAATGAAAATTTGCAGCCACGATTGCTGCCCTTGAATTCAATGGTAGTTCAACAACAAGAGAGGAGAGAGAGAGAAAATAGACATTGAATGGTAAAGCCGCAGGGAGAGGGGAGGTGGGGAGAGGTTGTGAGCGGAGCTGAGTGGGAGCACGTCACATTAGCCTCGTTCCTCTCTTCGCATTAGCCTCTCGATAGGATGTGGTTTTCAGCTCATCGTTTCCCATGTGGGATATTGGATCTTGCCTTATCGTGGGGGAGCGGGAGAGACTGACTAATTGAGTGTCATAAACAAGCTGAGAGCACATCACGTGCACGCCTGATCCTCTGCCGGGAACACCGAATCGAGCGGCAAGGAGATGGGTGAGGGAAGAGAATGTAAAATATAATAATCAATCCGGCGCTCAGTAAACATCTCCCGTTTCCTGTGCCCACCGTTTCCAAATCTGCTTTCGGAACGAGATGAGCAGTGAGCGCTCCCGGATCAGTGCGTTTGTCTCAGCTTCACCGTGCCTACTCCCTCGCTTCTTTCAAGACCCTCCCGATCGACCGCGCCTTCGGACACCCACGCACCTCCCTGCCCTCTGTCCCTCCTGATCCCACCCCCCCCTCAGCTCGGGTCCAAATCCCTGATGTCCTTCCTTCCTGACGTGAAAGGCGCTGTGTAAATGTAATTTGTTGTTATTTGCCTTCTGAAGACGGCTGCAGATTTGCAGGTCCTTTGACGGGTGGATGAATGCACTCACTGCTGTCATATCTCAATCCTCCAGCTATCTCAAGAGAATATTTAGAATTTTCGCATTGATTGGGACATCAATGGCAATAAAATGACCCTATTTGCCACTGATATTCTCAATAGGATGACTCGCGCTGCACAGGCACCTAATATATGCTGTAGTCATCAGTAACCTACTGCCTTAACCTGGGACCTCAATCAGTTATTACGACAATCAACTCTACTACACAACAGCAACTTGTTTCGCACTCTTCACGTGGGGAAGGGTCTCGCAGGGCTTAACAGTGGCTTGGAGCCTGATCTCCCGGGAGGAAGGAGGAGGTGACCACAAGCACGGTCAAAATAAGCAGTGGTGGGAGACTTGTGAATACTGACGGCCAGTGGGTGTCGGAGACTGAAATTAAGCCGAGGATAGTTTGTTGTTGGTTTTGAGGGTCAAGATGAAAGTTTCCACTGAGGCGGGAGGGTGGAGCGGGGGATACAAAGCAGGTAGATAATGCTGGACTCAAAATCTATTTGATATAATAATAATAATTGTTGCATTCCTTTTGCTTGAGAACTCTGCAAATGTATATGATAGCAAGGGTATGAGAGAGAGAGAGAGAGTTGGTGAACAACAACAACAAATTACATTTGTATAGCGCCTTTCACGTCAGGAGGACGTCTGAAAGTGCTGGACTAATGGGACTGAGCCTATGGAGTGTAATAGTCCTGTACTTGTGTAGTCTGGCTGTGTGGTGTCGATTGGCAGAGTGGCCTCAGCCCAGGGTTCCCAGAGAGGTTGAGCTCCTGTTGCTGATCTTAGTCTGGTCTCTGTGAAGCTGATGGCAGTGTAGGGTGATCGGTTGGCGAGAGTCCTGTGAGCGTTTGATGCAGTGCTAAAGTCATAATCCACCAGCAAGGGGGCAGGCTTGCTTCTTGGGCTCTGCCACTGTATCAGAGCTGTTTCACTCCGAGCTGTAGATAGATAGTGACACCTAACTGCGGGAGGCAGAGGTGAAGTGACCGTAGTACTGGATGTGGACGATGAGCACTCAATAAGGAAGCGCTGTGCAGTGCAGTGCTTGCGAGGCTACTGCGCTCTCTCTCTCTCTGACTGTGAATGGCAATCCTGCATGTGTTGTAATTATGACTTTAAAAAATCTACAGATAGCAGCTAAAATCGGAGGAGATACTGCCAACACCCCCACCACAACCAATCACAGCGCCCCCGAATTTGGATTCGTTGGTCAGAAGAGACAGCTGGAAGATGGAGGTAAGCTGGAACTGAAAGCTTGCACTTCACAACTCGGTGCTTGTATAAAGAGAGAGGGGGGTGGGGGCGTGGGAGACGGGCGAACGACAGATAGGGTGATCTCAAAGCCCCTAACTTGTTGGTGGTTTCATTCAGTACAAGCTGCAGGAAAGCTTTGTGCACCTCGCCCTAAGGGAAAGTTAACCTTGACATCTCCTGATGTCTCGGCTGCTGTTTCTCTACAGCCTCAGGTCTCCTGTTTTTTTAGTGTGTGAAGGTGCTGACACACCCAGTGCAGGTGGAGGTGATTTAAGGTGGAAAAAGATGAAGGGAAAGCAGGAAACCCTCTTTCCTCCAGCAAAAGGAACGGGCCACGGTCTTGGGATTGTTAACAGGAGGATCGGGTTAGAGGCGATTTCATCACTCTTCAAGATGGTATTAATTACAACGAATAGCTGGCTGGCTGGGGAATCAGGAGAAGGCATTGGAATCATTCAAAATAATAACAACCATCATCCTTGCATTCAATACAGCGCCTTATCACATCTTCGAGACATCTCAAAGTGCTTCACGGGACATACTGTAAAGTGTAGCGTCTGTGTGTTTCATGGGCGAAATGCGGCAGATGATTGCGCACAGCAGTGCCCCACAAACAGCCGTGAATCGCGGGACCATATTTTTTGTAATTTTTAAATGAATCCAGCGACGATTAATTGTCCACTCCACCAAACATGTAGGGAGAGTGGGCTTAATAATTGCCTGCTAAGTAGCTGAGGTGGAAAACCCCAGCCAAAAGTGGTTTTAAATCTCGTCGAGTGCCGCAGCAGCTGTTTGTGAGCCATGGAGCCTGTGGAAACGGGCTCCGCTGTGGGGTGGGGGTTCCTAAGGGTGATTTGTGGCGTATCAGACCTTTTACTACACACGCACACACGCGCGCGCGCACACCGTGAGGGCTGGTGTACGTTACACCCGAGCGTTTCAGAACACAGGCGCATTTCGGTATCAAGGGGTATCGGGCAAGGAGTTGATGTACAGATCCGCCATGATCTTATAGAACAGAATGGTGGAACAGTTTCGAAGGGCTGAATGGCCTCCTCCTATGATGGAAAAAGGCAGTGGCTCAGGTGTGCATTTCTCCCCTGTGCCACGGATGTCAAATAAAACGAGTGCAGTGGACTGACCACATTATGTCTTTGCAGCGCATAGAACCTGGGTTGAAGGCTGCCCGGTGTGTGGGCTGTTGTAGTTTCTCCCCGGTCAATCTGTTGAATGCCGGGTGTGAGGAGGTGGGAATGCGTGGCTTGGCTCTCGCTCTCTCTACACTCTCTTGAACCCCATTGCTCCTGGGGACTACTGCAACCTTGTAACTGGCAGCACGGCATCGGGAATTAGGCTGAATGCCAAGCAGCCTCGACCATCTCTTTCCCGCCCCTCCCCTCGCTCTTTTCCCTCATTCCCCTCTTCCTTTCTGTTGGATTTGTGAGATCTCTCGTTTGAAGTTTGCTGTCTTGCATTCTGTGCAAACGGCAGATTTACAACAGCAACATGTGACATTAACGTCGGGAGGACGTCCCAAGAGGCTGGACAGTCAAGAGTTTTGGACCCAAGTAGGGGCTTGGGAGCAAGAGGGAGGGAGGGTTAGGGTAGGAAGTTGGTCGAAGACGAGGGTCTTGAGATGTGCCTTGAAGGAGGCAAGGGAGGGAGCAGGGCGAAGGGACTGTGGGTTGGTGTTCCGGAGGTTCGGGATGAAGGCCCAACCGCCAATGGTGGGGCAGGCCGGGGGGGAGCAGGTTGGAGCCTGCTGAGCAGATGGAGCAGAGAGGTTGATATGGTGTCAGCAGGTCACAGGTAGGAAGGAGCAAGATCATGGAGGGCTTTGAAGGTGAGGGCAAGGATTTTGAGGATTTACTCTATCCTCTGGGGGATGGGGAGCCAGTGTTGCTGGGCTGGGGTGGTGGGGTCACGGAACCTGCTGCGAGAGGAGACACGAGCTGTGGCATTCTGGATGATCTGCAGCTTGTGGTGGGAAGAGTTGGAGAGGCCGACAAGCAGGGAGTTGGCGTAGTTGAGTCAGGATGTAATAAATGCATGGATGAGGGTTTCAGGGGCCTGAGGGAAGAGGCATTGGTGGATCCCGGTGATGTTGCGGAGATGGGGGAAAGCAGAATGGGTCATGGCAATTGTGCAGTGTCCCACAAACAGTCGTGGATTAAGTGACCACGTTTTTTTATTGTGGGGGAGGGTTAGTTACCCTCGGAAATCGATCTGCCAATCAATTATCAACCGAGTTCCTACTTAACTGCTAGGTAAACAGAAGTGTGTGTGTGCAGTAAGAAAACTTGCCTAAGGTTTTGCGTAGCCCGGGAGTTGAACCCGGGTCCTCTGGCTTGCGAGGCGAGTGTGCTAAACACTACGCTACAGATGTGTCTATGTGAAAAGGCACTATGAAAATGCAAGTTCCTTCTCTGTACCGAGTACTAATGTCGCTGAGAGCTAACTGAACAAACCACAGCCTGAATTCTGTGGTTGGTGTTGGAAAATCTGCTGTCACCAAGTCACTAGCTCTGCTGGGCAATAATAATAATAATAATAATCCTTGCGTTTGATCCAGCACCCTATCACGTCTTCGCGGCGTCTCAAAACGCTTCACAGGATTCACTGTAAAGTTTTGTGACTGTATTTTGTGGGCGAAACGCGGCAGCCAATTGCGCACAGCAGCGTCCCACACACAGTCGTGGATCGGGTGACCAAATTATTATTATTATTATTTCTTTGAAGGGATTACGTGGTCGAAAGAGGTTCTTGTTATAACCTGAGACGTCTTAAACAGTGGGATGAAAGGGTATAACTGAACTAAAGCCTTCTTCCTTGCAGTGTAACTGGTTTAAAAGCAACGTGTTTCGGTTGGTGTGAAGAGTAACCGAGATTGGAGAGAGCTCGGTCCTGGGCTGATGTTACCTACCTCGGTACTTTTGCCAGTGAACAATGTCTGTCGGACAATCCCACACAATGCTATGATACCAGGACTTATCAGGGTTTACAGATGCTTGTTAGATGGTTGGTTCCATCCAGTGTCTGGGGTGTAAAGCCATGTCAGTATGGTCAACGGGAACATTTCAGTCTGGTACATTTCGGAGCGGGCGAGAGGGAGAAGAGAATAATAATAATCCTTGCATTTGATGCAGCGCCTTATCACGTCTTCGAGAGACGTCTCAAAGCGCTTCACAGGACGCACTGTAAACTGAATTGACTATTTGAAGCCTTGAAATCCAAATCCTCGCCCTTTGCATTAAAATCCATTAGCAGTGTTTCTGGTTGAGGAATATTGTACCAGTAAGTCTTGGTCATGAGCACTTTGAATCGCGGCTGTTTGCCACCTGGGTGTCAAAGGAAAGTGGGCGAGAGTGAACGGTCTTTGTGGGGCAACATGAGGGGTGGGTAGCGGAAGATGATTGAAGCTCTGCAAAGCTCCCACGGACCTGCCTTACGTACATTGGCTTCAACTGTTGCCCCAAAACTCTGGAACACTCTTCCTCTATCCCCCTCCCCCGCCCCCCGCCTTGCCCCTTTCCTTCCCTGTCTTCGGGTCGCTCCCGAGGACCTTCCTCTTCGACCGTGCCTACTACGGTCACCTCCCCCTCGGCTCGGGAGTCGTGCTCCACCACTGTCGAGCGCTCTGGGAAGCTGCCCTGCGTGAGGGAACGCTGCGTGAATGCAAGTTGTTGTATTCGGTTGCTACCATATTATACTGCTGCACTGCTCTGAGTTGACCACCAAGGGGGTGCCTTTTGTGCCAGTCACCCGTCGTGTGTTGGGATGGCATTGTTTTAAAGCGTTTCTGGCGTTCGCCTAACGCCTCCGCTTGTTAATCACAGTGTGGTGAAGCCCTGTGGGGGAGGCTGCTGCAGTTTCCATCCTGTTGTCTCGTGAGCGCGGAAAATCTTCGGAACGTGCGACGCATTAAAAAAAAAATCCTACTCTCAAAATCCCATCAGTAAACGGCATCTCACCTGAGCCCTGTGTGAACGATTTCCCCATTCCCCCGGCCTTTGAATTCCCATTGTGCGTTGCACTGCATTCGTAGAAGCATAAGATATCACAGCACAGAAGGAGGCCATTCGGCCCATCGTGCTTGTGCCCGTGCCGGCTGTTTGGAAGAGCTACCGACCCAATCAGTCCCACTCCACCGCTCTCGCTCCCCCACGATCCTCGCAAGTTTTTCCTCTTCGGGTACCTATCCAGTTCCGTTTTGAAAGTTGCGATTGAATCGGTTTCCACCGGCCTTTCAGGCAGTGCATTCCATTCCTGGCTTTTTCTCTCTCTCTCTCTCTCTCTCTCTCTCTCTCTCTCTTTCTGGATGTTTGGGTGCTGTGTGTAGTGCAGTATTTCTCTGCCTTACACACTGCCTTCTCTCATTGCCTTTGAATCCCTGCAGAACACCTATCACTGTCCTCCCCCCCCCCCCCCCCATCCTTCCCTATCACATCTGGTAATCAATATTGCCTCTGGGAAGCACTCCCAAGACTCTGTCCTTCAAGGAAGTTGCTGTGTAAGTGCAAGAAGTGGTTTGTGTGTGTGTGTGTGTGTGTGAGCGAGCGCCAGTGCTACCAAATGATTTCAAGACAAGTGAGAGTGGCGTTCGATTGATGTTGACTGGTTTTGTTCTGTAAATTGGAGCCTTTTGTCATTCTTCTTTTCCTCCCTTTTTCTTGTCTGTTTTGCAGATCAGCCCGACAGCAAAAAGATAGCGTCACAGAATGATCGTAAGTACAGAGCACCTTCTGATCAGATGATGTCAGTCCTTAGCCCCTGCTAGTGCTGACATTCTCCACGTGAAGCCTAAGTAAGGCCCTGTGAGTGAGGTTTTGCCCTCTCCCTCTGCCTCCTGTTCTATCTAAGGAGGCAGTTTTTCACCCAAAGGCTAGTGGAAATCTGTCCCTCCCTCCCTGAAAGGCTGTGGTTTATACATGTATTCTGTGTATTCTGTCCATACACAGTTTCCAGCCTGAGGTGGATAGATGTTTGTTAGGTCAGGGGATCAAGGGATAGGGGGGGGGGCAAGGCCAGGTAATTGGAGTTGAGGTACAGATCAGCCATGATCTTATAGAATGGCGGAATTGGCTTCAGGGGCTGAATGGCCTTCTCCTGTTTCTAGGTTTCTCTCCTTGCCTTTAAATCCCTGCTGGAAATCCGCCTCTGACCGTGCATTTAAACCCCCTCTCATCCTCCGCTATCACAGTTGCTGCTCTTTACACTTTGAAACCTGTAACCACAGGCGAAAGTGGTCCTGGTTATCTGGAATATGCCAGAGTGGAGAGTTCCAGTGATGGAGTGAGTACCAGCGCTGACATGATGGGGAGAGAGAGAGAGAGATAGAGCAGGGAATGGGGTTAGTGTAGAGAGCTCCAGTGGGGGAGCGAGCACCAGCACAGACATGATGGGGGTAGAGAGAGGGAGCAGGGAGTGGGATTAGTGAGCACCAACAGACATCCCCTGTTATAAACGTCCAGGGTAAACAGTCTTGTACTGGGTAATGTGCCTGTGTGCCAAATTGTGTGTGTTTGTTATATATATAAAAAAAACTTCTTCTGTTCCAGCTATCGGAGCTCAGCTGGGATCGATGCACCATCAGCCAAGGTAAGGCAGAGCACAGAGCTGAAACCTGTACCTCACAGAGGCTTTGCCCAGGTTCTGCCTGAGAGAGTCATGGACTGGCACAGCTGAATGCTACTCGGATCGGCTTTGAATAATTCAGACGTATAGAGAAAGACCTTCAGCCTCTCTGCCCCCACCCTTTGAAACTGCATCCCACAGTCCCTTCACCTCACCCCCTCCTTTGCTTCCTTCAAGGCCCGTCCTCAAGACCCTCATTAACCGTGCCACCCTCCTAACCCCACCCTCCCTTCCCTCGACCCCTCCTGATCCCAACCATCTGCTCGGGTCCAAATCCCTGATTGTCCAGCGCCTTGGGACATCCTCCTGATGTGAAAATCGCTGTACAGGTACAGTATTGTATTGTAAGACCAGGGGTACTGCAAAAGTCACTGGCTAGTCCTCTTGCTTTGTTTCGACATTCACAGACCCTTTTAGTAGTAAACAGCAAAGTGTTTAGAAAGCTATTCCACCCCCCACCTCCCTCCTCCACCACCCCCCGATATACTTGGCTGTTGGTTATGTGGCTGCTTCTGATGTGTGGTGGTGACGGGTTTGTCTCCCTTTGTTTTACAGAGCGGAAGAACATCGCCCCCGTAACATGTAGGCTAAACCTTTATTATCCTTGACTTGTTGCTCCTTTGACATGAGATGAGATTTGTGTTAGCTTGTTACCAGTGATTGTACAGCGTGGAGCACATTGCTTTTTTTGCTCGGAGGCTGCTTGTTGTAAAGCCAGGCCTATCTGCCCTGCAGATAAAACACAGGTTCTTTTTGCTACTTTTAAATCGCAGGGCAGCACATTTGCAGCTTGTGTTTCCCCCCCCCCCCCCCCCCCTTCCCCCTCCTTGTTGACGTCCTCCTGTTAACTTTTTCTCTCTCTTCAAATATCTAAACTTTTCTTTCAAAAGATTATTTAAAAACTTGGGAGAGAATGTGTTTTTTTTTAAATTCTGTGGTGAAGTTTTTCCTCCTGTGGAGACATGCCATATGTTAGCAAAGGTGCTGTTCACAGAATCATACAGCACAAAAGGAGGCCATTCGGCCCATCGTGGCCGTGCCGGCTTTTTGAAAGAGCTTTCCAGCTAGTCCCCACTCCCCCGCTCTTAGCCCATAGCCTAGCAATTTGTTTGTTTTCAAATACACATCCAATTCCCTTTTGAAAACTGTTATCAAATCTGCTTCCACCACCTCTGGGTAAAAATAAATAAAATAATTCTCCGCGTCTCCCCTCTGGTTCTTTTGCCAATTATCTTAAATCCGTGTCCTCTGGTTACTGACCCGCCCGCCCGCCAGAGGAAACAGCTTTTCCTTATTTACTCTTATCAAAACCTCATATAATTTCGAACACCTCTGTGTGGGAGGTCTGGACGCAGTAAGAGCGAGCTAGGCTTCCTTGTTGAGGTTGTAGGAAAGTGGCGTGGCTACTCACTCAGACTGTTTTTGTTTGCAGGGTGACGGTCACAGAGGAATACAGAGTACCGGACGGCATGGTGGGGCTGAGTGAGTATCTTGGCTATGTTTTGGGGTTGTGTTGGCGGGGAGCCTGGGACTCGCCTGGAATCCGTTGTGCGCCGTGTAGGAGCAGTGAAAGCCGGGGTACGTGGGGCTGCTCGAAGCTCGTTTTGTGTTCAGAATCCAAATCCAGCCTTGGCTGATTGTTACGACAACTTGCGTTTACACAGCCCCCTTCATGTTGGGGTTGGGTCCCGGAGCACGACAGTGGCGGAGTCTGCCGCTGAGCCGTGAGGGGGCGGGGGCGGAGGTGACCGTAAGGGCGAGCAAAAGGGAAGGTGTTTAGGCAGGACTTGAAGGTGGGGAGTGAGGGAGGGAGTGGGCAAGACGGAGGGAAGGATTGACGGAGAGAGTAACAAGAGTTTCGGGGCTGAAGGTGGAGAGCAATTCCTTTTCACTAAGGAAGCCGTTCGAATCCGGACTTGGCTTTGGGGCTTTGCTCCGTTAGCTGATTTCAGGACGGGGTGAGGTTAGGGAGGGTGGGATCAGCTGGGGTGTCTGCTCCTGATTGACCCCCTTGGGGGTGGGGTCAATTGTTTGCCTCCCATGTCTGCCCTGTGTCCTGCTCTCTGCCCATGTTTGCTCATCGTGCTTTATTTTGCAGTTATTGGCAGAGGCGGGGAACAAATAAATCGAATCCAGCAAGAATCTGGGTGTAAAGTACAGATCGCTCCAGGTAATACATCATCTCCTCTTCCTGCTGCTGCCCTCCGTTTCAGCACAAGCGGCGAGCTCACCGGTTTGGGGGTTGGGGGGGTATAGTTTACCGTGTAACCCTGGGTAGGTCTGCGAAAATCAACCAGTCACTGCACGGACGGTATTCAGTGCCACGTGATAATAATAATAATAATAATAACTTGGAGATGACTTGGAGACACTGACCTATCTTGTCAGCTGCTTATTTAATACAAGGTTTCTTTTTCCGTGCGTTTTCAGAGGCTGTTATTGAGCAGGAGCCAGGCTTCTGAATGTGTCTGGGATGACTTACACAACAAAGACAGAGGAGGGATGGTTGGTGGGGTGGGGGAACAGTCTACATAAGAGTTTACCAGGCAAAGGAAGACTGTGTCCATCTGGTTTGCCTGCCACCATCTTGGCAGTCGCTTGACATGTCATGTCCCAAACTACATAATGTATCTCGTGATATTATTTCCCAGTAGTAATCTATCTTAATTTGCTAAGAATTATCCAGCGTTTCAGACTTTAGAGGCAAAAAATGTTCAGTAGTCACCCTGACTGCATTCATTCTTTGAAGGTATGATCAGAGAGCAAGTGGAAGGAGAGAGGTTTGTGTGTGGAAACGATAGCACAGCGAGCAGTGGTGAGTTTGCTAACGAGTGACTTGACTGTTTGTTTCAGACAGTGGAGGGATGCCAGAACGTATCGTGTCGCTGACTGGGAATCCAGAGGCCATTCAGTAAGTCTCAGCACAGCACCGAGCAGGGGGGATGTGGTGGGGAGACTTCAGCCAGAGAGGTTGTTGGAGGCGGTGGTGAGGGTTGACGTTCAGGAGTCCTGTAGCTTAGTGGTTGGCGCGCTCACCTCGCAAGCGAGAGGACCCGGTCTTTAGTCGATTGGTGGATTGCTTTTCGGGTGTAATAATCCCCCAAAAACTCTTATTTTAAAAAAAATCAGTCCCTCGATCCACAACTGATTGTGAGACACCACTGTGCGCAATTGGCTGCCGCATTTCACCCACAATATACACAGTCACTCCACTTTAGAGTATACCCTGTGAAGTGCTTTGAGACGTCCAGAAGATGTGATCAGGCGCTGTATTCAATGCAAGTGTCGTTATTGTGATAATTATTGTGTTTATAGAACCGCAAAAATGCTGCTGGACGAGATTGTATCCCGGGGGCGAGGAGGACCACCGGGGGGTGGGGGAGGGAGTGTGGGGGGACCACCACACGACGCCACCAACGGTCAGAACGGCTCCATCCAGGAGATCATGATTCCCGCAGGGAAAGCCGGACTGGTCATCGGGAAAGGGGGAGAAACCATCAAACAGCTTCAGGTACCAGACGTCATAAGGCGCTGTATCAAGCGCAAGGATTATTATTATTGCAGTGTATTCTGTGAAGCGATAAGGCGATATGGCGCTGTATCACGTGCAAGTATTTTTTATATGTATGTGTGTTATATCGGGAGGACTTTCCACAGCGCTTAAATCTCTGCGCTTAAATGACGAGTCACTTCAATCCACGACTGTGTGTGGGACTCTGGGCAATTGGCTGCCGGGTTTCGCCCACAAAATATACGGTCAATACATTTGACAGTGCATCCTGTGAAGAGCTTTGAGAACGTCTCGAAGACGTGCTGAGGCGCCGTATCAAATGCGAGGGTTATTATAATTGTGCATTTTTCTCTCTTTTTAATTTAAAAAAAACAACACAGGAACGTGCTGGCGTAAAGATGATTTTAATCCAAGACGGTTCACAGAACTCCAACGTGGACAAGCCACTGAGGATTATCGGGGACCCTTTCAAAGTGCAGGTGTGAGGCCACTCAGTGTCGCAATGTGAATTTAATCCTCTGAAACACTTGTCTATTGCGCTCTTTCTCCCGCTTTCTCTCCCTCCCTCCCCTCAATTCTTCCTCCCAGCCACCGGTATACCTATTTGGCTTTTCGCCCACAAAATATGCAGTCGTTTCACTTCACGGTGTATCCTTTAATGAACGCGGCTTGCAGATCGATGCGGGACATTGCAGTGAGCCCTTGGGTTACCAGAATCTTCCTCCTCCCCCCGTTACAGCAAGCGAGAGACATGGTGATGGAGATTCTACACGAGCGCGAGCAGGGAGGGTTCGGAGACCGGAACGAATTCAATCCAAGGCCCGGCAATCCCGGAGTCGGTGCAGGCATTGGCGGCATAGACGTAAGCGCTCTCTCTCGCGCGCTCTCTCTCTTGCTTTCTCCCTGCTGTACAGCGCTGCTCACCGCGGTTCTGAAATACAGCGCCTTATTACGTCATCGTCGAGACGTCTCAAAAGCGCTTCCAAAGAACATACCATGAGGTCTTGCCGGGCCCGCCTCCGGCTCACAGGCTCCCTCGGTCTGGCTTCCCGTTGACAGTAAATCAAGCCCATAACGGCCCCTTGTCACGCAGATCCCGGTGCCTCGGCATTCGGTGGGAATCGTTATCGGACGGAGCGGAGAAATGATCAAAAAAATACAAAACGACGCAGGCGTGCGGATACAGTTTAAACCAGGTCAGTGGCGAGCGCCGGTGCAGGCAGTGCTGGTGACGACGGTGCGGGCAGTGCCGGTGGCGCTGGTGCGGGCAGTGCTGCTGGCGCTGTGCCATGGTGCCAGCAAGACCTGGGTGTGGGAAGCTTCTCCGCTAACTTCCTGTCCTGTGTGAGTGTGTGAGAAAGAGAGTGTGGAGTGGCTGTCTGTGCGTGTGTACGGGCGAGCGCGTGTGTGTGTGAGAGAGTGTGCAGAGTGGCTGTATGTGTGTGAGAGAGTGCGGAGTGGCTTTGTGTGTGTGCGAGTGTGCGGAGTGGCTGTGTGTGAGTGTGCGCGCCTCTGTCTGTCCATGTGTGTTTGTGAGTCTTGCCTGGCGGAGTCCGTGTACGTAACTAACCATGTGCTCTCCTCCTGTGTCTCCGCAGATGATGGGACCACGCCGGACAAGATCGCTCACGTAATGGGGCCTCCTGAGCGATGTCAACACGCCGCTCAAATCATCAGCGATCTCCTGCAGAATGTGCGGGTAGGAAGTCAAGGTCCTCTCTCTCTCCCTCCCACACCCCACCACCCTCCCACCACCATCCTGCCCTCCTCTCCCTCCGGATTGCTGGCTCCTCACCTCGTCGGGTTGGAGTCCCAGCCTCATGTCGCTGTTGTTGTGTGTGCGCAGGGCGGCCCGCCCGGACCCCCAGGGCCCGGAATGCCTGGTCCCGGCCGAGGAAGGGGAAGGGGGCAAGGCACATGGGGCATCGGCCCCCCTGGAGGGGAGATGGCATTCTCGGTGCCTAGCCACAAGTGTGGGCTCGTCATTGGCAGAGGTGGGTATCGACCCATCGGACGGACGGACTGACTGACTGAATCCCTCCCTCCCGCCCGCTTTACCTGTGAAGAGTTTTGAGACATCGCAACGACATGCTAAGGGCCCTGTGTCACGTGCGAGGGTTACTGTTTCAAGCTGCCCTGTGTGAGGGCTGCGATATAAATGCAAGTTATAATAATAATTAATAGTAATAAGAATCCTTGCATGTGATAATAGCGCCTTATCCCATCAGGGGGAACGTCCCAAGACCCTCAAAAGCGTTTCACGGAATCTACTTAAAAAAAAAGCGAATTGACCTTATGTTTCGTGGGCGAAAGTTACGGCAATTGGGGAACCTTTGAGCTCACAAACCAGGCTGTATATTCTGAGTGAGTTATAGTCACACAGGAGACCTCTCACTGCTTCTTTCTCTTCCCCCCCCCCACCACCCATCACCACATCCCTCTGCCCCTCCCCCCCCCCCCCCCCCAATGTCCCCAAAATGACTGCTGTTTGTGTTCAGACCCAAACTTAAGTAATCGCAGGGTGCTCTCTCGTGCTCGCTCTCGGGTGCACTCTCTCTCGCGCGCACTCTCTCTCTGAGTTGAGGCAATGACTTTTGTGTGGGGCAGGAGGTGAGAACGTCAAGGCGATAAACCAACAGACGGGAGCGTTTGTAGAGCTGCAGCGGCAGCCCCCACCCAACGGGGACCCCAACTTCAAGCTCTTCACCATCCGCGGCTCCCCCCAACAAATCGATCACGCCAAGCAGCTCATCGAGGAGAAGATCGAGGTAAAGGTGGGGGGAGTGGGGTAAAAGGCGGCTCTGTCTGGGGTCACAGGGCAGGCTTGATCACGAGTGAGGCACTGATACCTGGGAGGAGTTTGGTTAGTGAGGGTGGTGGGGGAGAGTTTTGGGAGGGAATCATCTCCAGTGTTGTGTGGCTGCAGATAAACACCAGAGCCCTGTCGCTCAGTGGTTAGAGCACTTGCCTCGCAAGCGAGAGACCTGGGTTCGATTCCCTTAACTTATTAGCTTAAAAGATTATTATTACAGAACCAGGCAATCTTATCCAAGCTTTCCTACCAAGACCATCCTCAGGGAATCGCGTGTGGGCGGGTGTTGGTTGTGCGCTTATTCTAACCCCAACTATTGTCTTGTGGTTGCAGGGTCCCCTCTGTCCTATTGGCCCCCCGATACCTGGGGGCCCAATGGGACCTTTCCAACCAGGACCGTTTCCCCAAGGACCTCCCGGAGCTCCTCCTCCCCAGTAAGTAGCTCTGGTTCCGGTGGTGTGGGGGCGGCTGGGTGGGGAGTGTTGGTTGGTTGGTGGGTGGGGGAGAAACGAATGGCGTCTGATGTGCAGTTGGTGTGATTACTTGGGTTTTTTGCCTGATGCTCTTACTCTATGATGATGATGGTGGTGGTTGGGTGATTGATGGACAGCGAGGTGTCTAACTGATTGTCTCCCACAGTCCTGTTGCTGGCGGGCCCCCCCCTCCTCACCAGTACCCCCCCCAGGGCTGGGGCAACACGTACCAGCAGTGGCAGCCACCCGGTGGACCTCACGACCCAAGTAACTATTCCAACCTTCTCACCCCATCCCCCCTCTGCTTGCTTGCTTGTTTGTTCACAGGGACATAAGAACAGGAGTAGGCCATTCAGTCCCTCGAGCCTGTTCCGCCAGTCCTTTTCATTTGGCCTGTGGTGCCTGTGCTTTGCCGGATCTTTGGAAGAGCTGCACAATCAGTCCCGTTCCCCCCTCCCACCCCCTTTTCTCTTTCCCCATATCCTTGCAAGCTTTTCCTCTTCAAGTACCTGTCCCAATTCCCCGTGTTTTCAGCTTGGGCCGTAATGGTAGTGGTTAGCGAGAGGAGCCGGGCTGGTTCCCGGGCAGGTCAGGGCCAAACCGAGAGGAGTTTCCTTCTCTCCACACACGCTGTTTTCTCTGGTTACCCGGCAGTCAGTGGGAACCCGCTTGTGAGTCGATTGGCGGATTAATCCCTCCAAGAAAAATAATAATAATTGGGTCACTCGATCCACGGAAGTGTGGGGGGATGCTGCTGTCCGCAATTGGCTGCCGCATCAAGTCACTCCACCTTGCGGTGTGTCCCGTGAAGCACTTTGAGGCATCTCAAGCACGTGATGAGACGCCGTGTCAAATGCCAGGATTATTATTATTATTAATTCTGGTTTGTGTGGCTGCAGGTAAAGCTCCTGGAGACCCGAACGCTGCAGCCTGGGCAGCTTATTACCAACAGTATTACCAGCAACCGGGACCCCCAGTGCCCGCTCCACAGCCAGGCCCCGCACCAGGACCCCCAGGCCCAGGTAAGACCTGTGTGTGCGCGCGCGTGTGCTCTGAGCGTGGGCATGTGTGGTGTCTGCTGTGTACCTGGGTGTAGGTGGAGTGCGCTGGTCTGGTACATACACACACACATGGTGCTAACCTACGACTTTGTGTCCATCAAACAGCGGAGCCTGCACCACAGCCACAGGCGCCCGGACAGCCTGACTATACTAAAGCCTGGGAGGAGTACTACAAGAAGCTAGGTAGGTGCTCAGTAACTTCGCAAATATGCATACGGTCTTGTTTTGACCCCCACACACCCCGTGTCTGTCTGTCTCTCTCTCGCTCTCTTCCCAAACTCCCCCTCCCCCCAGCACCTCTCTCAAGTTCCACTCCCTCCCTGTTCCCCCACCCTCACCTCTGTTTACCCCAGCAGTAAGTAGGATTATTAACCCCCGGTTGTTGGCTGTGTGTGTGTGGGGGCGGGGGGAACGAGTTGTTCGCTGCCTTAATGGCGCCCTTTTTCCTGCTGGGGCAGAGGAGGGAATCCTCGATGCTCCCGGAGGGAGGGGATGGGGGGGGGAGGAGGGGGTTGCACAGGGTAACGTCTGATATTAGGTATGGGGGGGGGGGTATTTCCACAAAACCTTCCGCCTGTTCTGACGGCTCCTCTCACGCAGGTCAACAGAACCCCCCTGGCCAGCAACCGGGACCCCAACAGGACTATACGAAAGCATGGGAGGAGTACTACAAGAAGCAAGGTACGCGGGGTTTGTGTTTAACCTGGGTCCAAACCCCTGACTGAACAGCGCTTCGGGGCATCTGTCTGACATGAGAGGTGCTTTGCAGGGGGTGGAGGTGGGGGGCGGTGACCGTAAGCGCCATCGAAAGAGCAAGGTCTTTAGGCTGGACTTGCAGATCAGGAGGGAGGGAGGGGGCGAGGGAGAGTGGTCCGGAGTTTCGGGGAGCAGCGGCTGAAAGTGTGGCCGGCGGCGGTGGAGAGAGGCGGTGGGGTGGGGGGGGCGGGGGGGGCGAGCTAGCTAGCGCTCTCCGTGTCCAGACTGTACACTGACATGCGCGCGTGTGTGTGTCTGTGTCTCGCTCTCGCAGCTCAAAGTGCCCAGGGAGCAGCAGCAGCAGTAGCAGCAGCACCACAGCCAGGAGGAGCCCAGCCCGACTACAGCGCGGCCTGGGCTGAATACTACAGACAACAGGCAGCTTACTATGGCCAACCCGCAGGGCCACAGCCCACACCACAGCAGCCACCAGTGCAACTAGGGCAACCGGTACGTCCACCAATTAAGTGGGCTAACTAGTGGCCTCAACCGAGAGTGAGAGAGAGAGAGAGAGAAATCACTAGAGAGAGTCTCTCGTTGATAAATATTTGCTTCTAATGGTTTCCTCTTTCGACCTGACCCTTTCTGTCTGTGTGTGTGTCTCTCTCTCTCTCGCTCTCTTCCTCCCCTTCTACCGGCCGCCTGCTCTCCCTCCCTCCCTTCCTCCCTCCCTCTCTCTCTCACTCCCTTGCACTTCCTCTCCATCTCTCTCTCTCTCTCTCTTCCTCCACCACTCTCCTCCCTTTCTCGCTCGCTCTCTCCCCCTCCACCCCCACCCCCCCCCTCTCTCACTTCTACCAACACCCTCCCGCTCTCTCCTCCCTTTTTCTCTCTCTCCCCCCTCCCTTTCGCGCGCTCTCTCTCTCTATCTTTCGTTCTCTCTTTCTCCCCAGACACAGTGAAGCAGATGGGGGAGACGAAATGCAGACTCGGGAGAGATATTCCTTTTAACAATGATGCAGACTGTCTGATGAGAAGATCAATAGGCTTAGATTTCCCTATCACTGTGTGTAAAAAGATGTTCATATTGAGCCAGCCTAGGAGATAAGAGTCAAGCTAAGCTCCATCTTCATCCTCGGGTCTGTCTCTTATAATAAAATCAAATTATTAAAAAGTTGAGGGGGAAACAAAACACCTTTTTTGTTTTTATTTTAAACCTAGATCACTCAGCTTTTTTTTTTTTAGTTTTAAGGATAGTTTCAACATTCCAGTCGACGTACTGTTTGTTTTTTTTTTCCCCCGAAATTGAATCCCAATTCATTTTACACTGAAAACGAAACAAAAATGGCTGCTGGTCTGTTTTTTTGGCATCTTGTTTATCTTTATCTGTTTAAAGGTCTTTTTGGGGGGGAAAGAAAATAAAATGTAAGCTTGGTTTTTACTTTTTACCGCTCGTTTTACACTTCACAATAAATGATATAAAATAACATAACCGTTGTGTCCCTGTGCGGGGGTGTGTGTGTGCCTGTGTGGGTGTGTGCCTCTCTGTGTGTGTCCCTGTGCGGGTGTGTGCCTGTGTGTGTGCCTGTGCGGCGGTGTGCCTGTGTGTGTGACCCACCACTCGGGTTCTGATCCGACTGTTCAGCGCCTCGGGACGTCCTCCTGACGTGAAAGGCGCTTTTGCAAATGCAATGCTGTTTAGTTTGGGTCAAACATTGTAGCTGTGTGTGTTTCTCAACCCCCCCCCCCCCCCCCCACCCCTACCCCTCTCGCCCTACCTCCCAACCATCTCCGATCTGCTTACCTCCCACCCCACTGACCACTGCTGCCTCCCCTCGCCTGGCTCTGGCCTCCTGCCTGTCAGCTCACACCCTCCTCCTTTCCATCGTCGGCGGCCGCCCTTTCACTCCGAATCTCTGGGGCGCTCTCCTATCCCCCCCTCCCACCTCACCCCCTTCCTTCCCCATCTAAGGGTAATGACTACAGCAGCCGGAGTGTCAAAAAGGCTGGAGCCAACAACAACAACTTGCATTTGCACAGCGCCCTTCATGTGGAGTAGCGTCCCAGAGCTCTCGACAGTGACCCCGAGCTGAGGGGGGAGGAGGAGGGGGCGCTGTCCGTGAGCACAGTCAGAAACAAAGGGCTTTGGCGGGGATTTGAAAGGGGTGGGGGGGGGAGTGGAGGGATTGAGGGAGAGAGTTTTGGAGGCGACAAGAAAGGGAATAAAGGAGCGAGTCTGTTGTCCGTCCACTTTAATAGTCAGAAGGACAAGGAGGACACGGATTACAGTGTGACTGAGCCCCAGAGCGGTGTGTGGGGCTGTGTGTGTGTGTGTGTGGGGGGGGGGGGGGGTGGTGTTGGGTGGGTAGGGCTGTGTGTGTGTGTATGTGGGGGGTGGGGGGGGGGGAGGAGATGGATCACCATCTCCGGCTCCGCAAACTGCCGCCAAAGGCAAAAAGGTCGTCACTCCCTGTTAGTCACTCTTTCAACCAGACACGGAGCAGACACGACAGTCGTACTAACGGCCTCTTTACAGACAGGTTGTCAGAGAGAGCGAGAGCCGCGGTGAGAGTTTGGCCGTGTTTATCCGCATGGCGTTCCAAAGTATATCCCTCTGTAAGTGGAGCCGTCTTCGCCTCGTGTGCTGTTTCCCCCCCAACCCACACACACACACTCTCTCCCTCTCACACACACACACACCACACTCCCTCACACACCCACTCCCCACACACACATACCCACTCTCCCTCACACACACGTGCACGTTCCTCCTAACACACACACACACCCACTCCTCCCCCCACACAGACACACGCATACATTCTCTCTCCCACCCCCACCACCATATACACGCACACGCACACAAATGTCCGCTCCCCTCACAGGACTTTGATCATCGCGGCCACACTGTTATAGACGCTATCCTCTGTGTCTTCCCCCATCACCTGAGGGGGTGGGGAGAGAGAGAGAAGCAGAGGGTCAGAGGCAGGTGTTGACTCGTGTTGTACCATCACCCCTGGGGTCCCAACGCACTCATCCCGTTTAAAGCTGCCTCAGATGCTTGTGGGTTGGAGCCCCACATGGGGTGCGGGGGAGGGAGGGGGCGAGAGAGGGAGGGTCGGGTGGGGGGAGACTTTGAACTCGCAGACCAGGCTGACACTCGGGTGGATCGAGCTCCCCCCTCCCCCCCACCCCCGCCGCCTTCCTCCCCACTAACCCTCGCTTACCCTCTTCAAGAGACCTTTATTGTCATAATAATCCACCACCCACTTGGCATTTGCCAAGTAATTCCGCACTCGCTTGTTGATGATGGTCTTGTGGTCGTCAAAGCGCCCGGGGCCCTCTCCCCTCTTGTGCAGTCGGCTCTTCATGGTCTCCGGGGAGCATTCCATCAGGATCACCATCTCCGGCTCCGCAAACTGCCGCCAAAGGCAAAAAGGTCGTCACCCCCCGTTAGTCACACAATCCGCTGCCTTGGGACGTCCTCCTGACCGGACAGGCGCTAGACAAATATAATTTGTTGTTGTCGTTGTTGCCCGGGATTAACGACCTCCCATGTTAATAATAATAATCCTCCCATTTGACCCCCATCATCACGTCGTCGAGACGTCTCAAAGCGCTTCACGGAATGCACTTCAAAGTGTAGTGACTGTGTATTTCGTGGGCGAAACGCGGCAACCAAACAGTTGCGGATTGAAGTGACCACATTATTATTATTTTTTGTTGGTGGGGAAGGGATTATTATTAACCCCAGAAAAGCGATCCGCCAATCGACTAACCAGTGAGTTCCTACTTACTGCCAAGTAAACAGAGGCGTGTGTGTGGAGTCAGGAAACTCGGCTAAGGTTTTGCCCCGACCCTGGGAATCAAACCCAGGTCCTCTGTCTTGCGAAGCGAGTGCTCTCACCACTGAACTATAGGACTCTCCATTGAGTGTGGTTGTAAATATCTCCCTCTCGAGTGGAGGCGGTGGGAAGGGGGGTCCTGGAGGCAGGTAAGTACCT